TGGAGCCCAAGAAAATAAAGTCTGTCACTGTTTCCCTATGTATTTGGTGACTTAGGAGACTGTATTAAAGAAATGTCTTTACTGTTTTAAAATTGATTTCCTTAAGGATTAATCTAGATTGGACTTAACTCTCTTGTGTATTAATTGTGCTTTAGCTCTTTTAGGGGAGACCCTTAAACTAGCCTTAGGTATACTAAGACAAAGATTTTAGAAGTTAGCAAGATTATATTTTACAACTATTGCTTAAGTAATATCACGGCTCATATTGCATGCCTTTTGTTACAGTAAAATCCATATTCTCTTCTATTCCTTTCTTCCCCACATTGTTTTGAAGGGTATTTTTTTTTTATTAATTTTTGGCTGCACCTGGAGTCTGTTGCCTTTGTGCAGGCTTTCTCTAGTGTGGTAGGCTTTCATTATAGTGGCTTTTCTTGCTGTGGAGCACAGGCTCTAGGGGCATGGGCTTCAGTAGTTGTGGCGCTTGGGCTTAGTTGCTCTGAAGCACGTGGAATCTTCTGGATCAGGGGTCAAACCCATGTTCTCTGCATTGGCAGGCAGATCCTTACCCACTGTACCACCAGGGAAGTCGGAAAGATGTATTTTTTATTTTTAAAGGTATGTTTAAGAGTAAGTTATCAACATACTAACTAAAAAACCATTTGCCAAAAGTTCTGGGAAATGAAAACGGATACAGGCTTTTAATCTACAGTTGTTTTGTGTTCATGTGTGTCTTTTTCCAAATGGTGGGTCAATCTAATAAATGTTTGTTGTGTATTTTCCATTGATCTCTACAGGCTTTTTCAATACTGTTGAGTTCCTTTGAAGTAAGGCATTGTGAATTATTTATCTTTTTATTTCTGGTGCCTAGCACATGCCTGGCACATGGTAGATAAGCAGTAAATGTTTGTAGACTTAAACTGTTCAAAATTGATTTTGGAGTCAGAAGACCTGTTATTATTCTAGCTCTCTCATTCACTAGCTTTAACCTTAAGCAAGTTACTTTGGTGCACTAGATCTCCATTTCCACAACTCTAGAGTAAGAGTCCATCTGATTCTAGAAAATCTGATGCCAAGTAAACCATGTAGTAACTTATTGCTTATTTGTATTGTTTGCATAATAAAATCTATTTGCAGACTTACCTAATTAGTAATGGATTAGATTGGTTTGCAAAGTATATCTCAATTGATGATACTGGCATATTGCTTCTTAGTATACAAAGGCAACTTATATTTCATTTCCAAATATATTCTCTCTCTAGTATTCCTTGTACTTTGACCATTTTTTTTCTTACTGAATGAGAATAAATTAAAGATGGAAGAAATTACCTAGAAATTTAATCTATTCCCTTATCTTATAGATGAGAAAACTGATGTTTTGGAAGGTTATACTGTTTGTCTAAAGCTGTTTAATGGCAGAGTTAGAACCCAGGTCATATGATTTACACGTGAGTGATTTTTCCATATCAGGTATCTCCAGGCATTACTAACAGTTTCTTGAGATAAAGATTGAAGAAGAAATTATCAAAATAGCTAAATTTAGTGGGCACATGGAAAAAAATACTTTTTTCTTATTCTCAAATGGTTATTCTGGGGGAACTACTTTTGTGCCTCATTTCCTGAGAAGTACAATAAGGAAAGTAGGAAAACAAAAATTGTTTAAGTTAGATATATAAAAGCATTTAGTTATGGATCCTTTCTTTTTCCTGAGAAATGAGGATGGAGAGAGGAAAGAAGAATGGCATAATTGAATTATGCCTTGTTATTCTACTATGATGTTTTTCTTTGCCTTTTTGGTAAATCCAGGGAGCCTTCACCTTTTCAATAACAGCACAGTTGATAGAAACAGACATTACTGTTCAGGTTGAATAAAGGGATAACCACTGTTCTTTCACTGTCAAAATCCTTAACCCCAATTCTAGTTGCTTTCCACCCATTTTTCCTCCAGCCTTACTATAGGTATCACAAATTTTTTGTAAGAGCACAGAGAAGAATTTCATAGAGTTTGAAGGACATTTTGGGATCAGGGGATATCCCCTACAAGGGGTGACACTTGAGATTTTAAAGAAGGACTAAAAGCCAGATTAAAAGCAGTTTAGGGACATCTAGATAGGTTACAGCATGAGACAAAGCATGAAAAAAAGAAACAGCAGAAAGTGAAGTACAAATATGTTTATGTTTTAGAGAGCTTAAAATGTGACGCAAGAATGATAGGAGGTGAGGCTAGAGTTTACATTTAATTCCCCAGGCAGTTCAGTTCAGTCTCTCAGTCGTGTCCCGACTCTGCGACCCCATGGACTGCAGCACACCAGTCAGTAGGGAGCTGTCAGTGGATTTTCCTCTTTTTTTTTTTTTGAGGGAAAGATAGAGTCAGATTCTGATTTTAATTAGATTAGTCTAATAGCTTTATACAGAAGGGTTCTGTTAGTTATCTATGGTAAGATAACAACTTACTCAAAATACCATAGCTAAAATGACGCACACTATTATCTTTGCCTTAGTTCAGGAACTTGAGCGTGGCTAACTGGGCTTTCCACTCGGGCTCCCTCACACGGTGACAGTCACAGCGTCAGCCAGGGCTGTGGTCACTCTAATGCTCGTCGGGGGAGAATCTACTTCCAGTCTCACTGAAGTGCTTGTTGATGGTGTTGAGTTTCTTGGGGGCTCTTGGCCCGAGGGTCTCGTTTCCTCTCCAGAAGCATCTTTCAGCTCCCCTTGCCTTGGGCCTCTGCCTAGGGCAGCTCACAGTGTGGCAGCTTTGAACACATGAGAGAGCAAGAGAGGAGGGTGGAAAAGATGGAAGCCAGAGTCTTTTACCTTAGAAGCAGCACTTTTGCCATGCTTGATGCATTAGGAGCAAGTCACTGGATCCAGACCACACTCAAGGGGAGGGGATGACACAAGAGCCCGCACACTACGGAGGCAGGGGTCGCTGGAATCCATCTTTGAAGCTGCCTGTCACAGTTTACTTAAGAAAATAAGACTAGAGGCAAAGGGACCACTTAGGAGGCTATTTGAGAATCCGAGTGAAATGATACGGAGGTTATTGTAGACGTATGTAATAGAATGAAGGAGGGGGGTGAAGGCAAGAAATGCTTAGCAGGTTAAGTCATGAGAACTTGGTGATTTAGAGCATGAAGGTTTTAAGGGAGAAGAAGCAATTAAAGGTGACATTTAATTGTTTTTGGCTAGCAAATCACCATCTGACCGAAGAATATTTTCACTTGAATGTGTCTTCAACTCCTGTCCATGTTGAGCTTTTATATGCATTACTGCTATTATCTCCACACTTTTAGTTTTTTAACTTGCCCTTGGTGTTGCTTCCCTGGACTCCACTTTCTCAGTATCTCAATATCTCTCAGTGTCTGTTTAATTTTCCTATTTGTCTCTGTTCCTACTTTTACCCTGCTTACCCAGCTACTTATCTCTGTACACAAAGTGTCGGAACAATTTCTTAATTTCTTCTCTGAGGCCTTTCCTTTCTTTAATCTAGATTCTAAAACATCTAATAGCTAGATACATTTACCTTTCATTTAACCAACAGGGATTGAGGGCCCACTTTGTGACCAGCACTTTACTGGGCCTCCTTGGGAATATAATAGCAAGACAAGCATTGTCCCTATTCCTTTGATCATTAATATCCTCTCTTCCCTTTCTTTCTGTCAAAAATAACACTAATCCTTTAAGTTATCCACTTCACCTTCTACCTTCCTTAAAACGTGTATGTTTTATTTTGTTTTCTCGTTATCTCCTATAGCTTTGGGGTTTCTGGGGTTTCCCAAGTGGCTCAGTTGTAAAGAGTCCACCTGCCAACACAGGAGACCCCAGTTTGTTCCCTGGGTCGGGAAGCTCCCGTGGAGGAGGAAATGGCTACTCACTTTAGTGTTCTTGCCTGGAGAATTCCATGCACAGAGGAGCCTGGCGGGCTCCTGGACTTGCAAAGAGTTGGACAACACTGAGCATGCACACATACCTTTAGCTATAATCAGGAGGGGCTTTACTCTAGAAACATTGAAATTCTATAAGTTTAAAACAAAGCACTGGTTTCAGCTATTAAGCACAATGAAGCTATTCCTGACCTTGCCTTTCAGTCAGCATCAAGCATTAGAGCAGTGAGTGTCTGCTCACTCCAGTGACTTACTGGACTGCCCCTGGAGGGCTTTCTAAAAATATTGATACTTCACCTTTTCCTCAGAGATTCTCATTCAGTTTGTTAGGAATGAAAACAAACCACACTCTTAAGGTGAATTTGATGTGTAGCTAGTTTAGAAAACTGTTGCATTAGAGTCACCCTCACCATTATTACCTTTAACCATCTAAATAGCCTAAAGCTATAATTTCCAAATACCAGTTACAGACTAATTACATCAATTCATACAGACTTTTGGGCCCTATCACTAGAGGTGCTGATTCTTCACTAGATCTGTGGTAATATCCAGGCTTCTATTTTTTTTTAATAATCAAAGAAGATTGATACATAATCGGGTTGGAAAAACATTTGATGAATGAACCTAATATACTGTATTAATTTTTTTCTTGTATTTTCCTTAACAGAACTGTTCAGATAAATGCATGTAAATGTTTAATAAATGTTAAGGACCAGTTAGCCATGATTTGCTTTATAGATTATCTTTGAAGATTCTAGCCATTTGAAGTTATGTTTTAAATGGCAGTTGAATGACTGCTGTGTTTAGATTTTTAGATGCTCCAGTACTATTCAGTAGTATAATATTAGTATTATACTAATATTGCATGCACTGAAATATTTCATTTAACTCTTTTTTCATACACTGATATATTTCATTTAACTCTTCTACTTTTACTTTAAATAATAACTTTTTTGTCCCATGAAAAATTTGGAACAGTGACTGGATTCTTTTTCCTCATATTTTTCTGGTAAATCTTTATTATATTCTACTGCCAGGAGGTATATTATTACTTTCTTGCAGGATGGGATGGTCAGAATGTGGCTCTAATAAGTTTGTTGTCTTCCTTTTCTATAGTGTTATTCCTCTCTTAAGAGAGTCTGTTGGAATATTAATGCAGAGAACTCCTCCACTTTTGGAAAATACTTTACCTCAGTGCTATCAGAGGGTAAGTTTCAATGCTTCCAAACCATTGGGTTTTAGTTGTTTCCAAGTTGTTGGGGGTTTCAACTTTTATAAATATGGGTAGCATGTGTATATAATTTAGTATTTCTTCCAAGATTAAAAGCTGACCATGAATGCCACTTAAACCAGAATAAAATCATTGGAAAATATTGAGCTTCACTAAAGAAATGTGGTAGAAAGTGTCCTCATCTAGTCTAGAAGTCCAGCAGCTCTTTTACAATATAAATATGAACCGCAGATGGTATCAGCATTTCTTCAAGACGTATTTGGTAAGCCCCCCATCTTTTATGCCATATATTCTTCTAAGGTCCTAGGGGTGTAATGGTAAACAAGATAGAGTCTATCAAAGTATTTATGGTCTGGCGGGGAAGCACAGGCACTAAACAAGAAATAAATAAGGAAATATCAGTGATGACTACTCTAATAGAAATGAAACAAAGTGAGGTGGCAGACATGGATGGCTACATCACATTTATTGAGGATGTCATATTCAAGGAAGCTGAAGTCTTGTTGATTAGAAGGAACCAGACATATGAAAATCTTGGAGAAGAGTGTTCCAAGCAAAGGAAAATGCTAATGCAATAAGTTCTATGGCTGGAACTAATTTAGTGTATTTGAAAAACAGTGAGGAAAAGCCATTGTGGCTGAAGCATAATAGATAAAGAGAAGAGTGGCTGGAAAGGCTGGAGAGAATGGCAGGGGACAGATCATTCAGAAGTGTTGGTCTTACTAAGAGGTTTAGATTTAATTCTGATTCTGTGGGAAGCATTAGAAAGCTTTTATGCAGGGAGAGTGTCACAAAACTTAAATTTTAAATGCTTATTCTGCTTGCTATTAGAGAATAAACTCTAGGAAGAATGAAAGCAAAGAAGACCAGTTAAGAAGCTATTATCATTTAATTTGAGAAGTTATGGCTTGGACTACAGTGGTAGCAATGACAGTGGAGCTAAGTAGATATTTTGGATAAGTTTTTAGAGATAGATTATATTAGCAGAGGGGAGAGAAAGCGTTGAATTGCAACTAGCTAGATCCTCATACTATTTGTTGAGGTTGATGCAGGTGTGAGGGTGGAAAATCCTCCCATATCAAGAGTTCTATTCTGGATATGTTAAGACTGAAATGCCTACTATACTTCTAAGCGAAATGTCACTGAAGTGCTGGGATGTGCAAATCTGGAATTTTAGGGACTGATTAGAACTAGGAGGAGTTTTGATTCATCAACTTATAAATAGCCTTTAAAATATTAGGATTGTGTGAGATTACCATGGGAGGATTCAGCTCTATTCTTTAGCTCAAGTTTCAACTCCAGATTTAGTGCATAGGTAGAAAGGGAGCTGGAAAACCCAGAAGTTGAAGAAGGAGGAAGTAATCAACTGTGCCAAATATTTCTGTGAGGCAATTGTAATGGAAACAAAGAAGTGACCATTGATTGGCATCATGAATGGCATTAATGGCCTTGATAAAAACATTTTCAGTAGATTTGGTGAAAGCTTGATATAGTAGATTAGGGTGGAAATGAATGGGGGAAGTAGAGATAGTGGTTACAGTCAATTCTTTTAAGAAGTGTTGTTAAAGGGAGTAGAGAAATGAGCTGAAAGCTTGGCTATGGATATAGTAAGAAGGGGGAGGGAATTTGTTAAAACAGCATCCCATAGAGCATTCCCTAGTAATGGAGATGTTCAAAATCTACCTTGTCCAGTTTGGAAGTCACAAGGAACCTGTGGCTGTTGAGCATTTGAAGCTTAATAATTTTGAGCTAGTGCAACTAATTCTTTAATTTCACTACATTTTCATGTATTTAGTCACATGTGTTGAGTGACTTCTGTATTGCACAGTGCAGTTCGGGAGCATGTGTGTTGCTAACGGGAACATGTCAACTGAGAGGAAGACATTGATGATATGGTAGTGAAGCAAGTTAATTTAATGAAGGAATGAAGTTCTTGAGAAGGTGAGAAGGGATAGGATCCAAAGCATTATGGAGGAATTAACTGTAGATAGGAGCCAGGGGTACTATATCCTGCAAGGGAAGGCAGAGAATGCTGAAATAGACGGGGGTTGACTGGTAGATTTGGTGGGTCAGAAGAGCTTCTCTGTGTGCTTCTGTTTTCTCTTTGACATACAGAGCAGTGTAATCATACAGAGAAATGAGAAGACCAGAGGCAAAAAGAGAAGGTGTAGAATAGTTCTTTTTCAGATAGGGAAAGTGAAATGCTGCCCATTTGACTTTTGTGGTTTTATGATTTTAAGGGAGGACCAGTCAGCATAATTGTAGAAGAGAAAGGGGCAATTTAGTGAATGCCTACTCTAAGCTGGCCCCTATACTAAGTGATGTACATATATTGTTTCTGTTCTTCAAATTAACCATACAGGCTGTTTCCTATTCCTTTCCCTAGGAAAATTGAGTAAAATTGAGGCCCGGAAGATTTAAATAACTCATCTAAGGTCACAGATGGTAGCGGCTGAATCAGGATTCTAATCCATATAATTCTGGCTTTAGAAGCTCCTCTTTTTGTTGTACCACACTGTCAGAGCAAGAAGAGCAACATAGACTTCCATCTGTAACTACACTTTCTGCACATTTTTAATTTGAGGAAAGTTAATGCCAGTTTCTATAAGAGCCATTCCTTAACTTATGCTTTAGAATAACTGCAAGAATGTACTTGCACTGCTGTTTCAATGGAGGTAGAAGAAATCTCTTCAGTCACCGTGTTGTTTCACTAGCAGTACACCATTCATGAGGATAGTCTGTAGAAAAATGTGGAGGACATCAACTTCAAACCCTCTGTCATCAGAGTCCTGAAAGAGGAAGAGAAAGTCCATCTTGCCCTGTTTCCCCAGTAAAAGCAGTTTTTTTGTTTTTTTTTTTTAAATGGGCACAATGGGTATTGTCTCAGTTTCCCACCAGGAGTCTTGGAGCTCATAGAAGGTAATCCTACATGCATCAGATTCTGATAAAAATAAATATTTTGATAAAAAGTTCAACCTTTTCTTAGTTAACATCCCAAATAGATTACTTAAGAATCAGAGAATCTCAGAATTTGAAAAGATCTTATTATTCACTTGGTCCAGACTTCTATCTGTTGCAAGAATCTCCTCTGCAACATGTAGTTGGTCATCCAGCTTCTTGACCATTTCCAGGAACCAGTGGTTAATCTCTTCACAGAGTAACCTCTTTCTCTTTTAAGTTGATCTAATTGTTATAAAGATCTTTTTACATTGAGCCTCTTTTAACGTCTGAGTTCTGATCTTAGTTCATCTCTTCCAGATCTACTATCTACAGAGATACTGAACAATAGCAGTAGTTGGGTATCTTTGTAAAGATTTTCCTGTCTTCAATGGAATACATCTAATGTTTTTTTTCTTAAGTGTTTTCTATACATTTTTGGTAGATAGCTTTTAGTAAGTTAAGGAAGTGTCCTTCTAAGCATAAATAGGGGTTGAGTTTTATTAAGTAATTGCAGTTCTTTTATTAAAATGATTGATTTTTCTCCTTTGCTTCATTAATTGAAGAGTAACAGTAATAGAATTTCTGATATTTATTGTTTCCTTCTTGGGATAAACCTAACTTAGTCATGATACCTTAGTTTTTTTGCTATACTGTTGGATTTAGCTTACTTAATTCATAAGAGAATTCAGCTTATATGTTACTGTCTTTTATCTGGTTGGGGATCAAGATTATTTTTACCTATATGAGATAGCACCTCTTTTATTTTCTGGCAAATCTAGGAGTTAAGTTACTTGAAAGTTTTCTCTCTGGGACTTGGCAGGGTTAGGGGAGTTTTATGAAAGAGAACTTTTATTACCTTTTCAGTTTTTAATGGTCCTTTCATATTTTCTGTTTTTTTTTTTTTTTCCCTTATATTACGGAATTTTCTGTATTTTCTGAAATAATTTCCCCAAATTTATTCATTTTTGTCTAGTTTTTTCAATATTGTTTTTTGTTGTTTTTCTGATTTTATTATTTATTTATTTTTTGCAGCTTTACTGAGGTAAAATTGATAAATTAAAATTATATATATTTAAAGTGTACAATTTGATGTTTTGATATACATGGACATTGTGAAATGACCACCACAAAAATAGGGAACACTTCACAAATTTGCATGTCATTCTTGCACAAGGGCCAAGTTAATTTTCTCTGTATCATTCTAATTTTAGTATATGTGCTGCCAAAGCAAACACAAAATTGAGCGTTTATTCATTTTATATACATACATATACTGTTTACTGAGCCCTTACTTGCAGGCCAGGCTTAGATGCTTAGAGTTTTAGGTGTTCAGGATATAACCATGAAACTCAAAAATAAATCCCTGCTCTTATTGAGCTTGAGTTCTGTCAGAGTAGACAGGAAGTAAACAATTTAAATAACATAAGTAATGTGGCTAGCTGCTGAAAAGTAAAACAAAGCAGAGAAATGTAAAAATGAAAACGTTGTTTTAGCTAGGATAACAGTGGAAAGGCTTCCTGAGAAGTTGGTGTTTGAGTAAGGGCCCATGTAAAGCAGAGCAGTCATTATTGTGGAAGGAGGCACACTCCAAGCAGAGGGAATCGCAAACGCCTTGAGACAGGCGTGTTTCAGACTCTTCAGAGTGGTGAGGATGCTGCTACAGCTGGGGAAGAGGAAGCAAGGGCAGGGAGAGGAGATGACCTAAGAGTGGTAAATAACAAGCAGCCACATCACATGGGTCCCTGAGTTATTGTGGAAGCACTGGTTTGGGTTCAGAGTAAGATGGGAATCTACTAAGGATTTTGAGCAGAATGAAAGCATCTGATTTAAAGCAACAGAACCTCACTTGGGCTCCTATTTTGAGACTAGATGAAGAGGTGCAAGGCTAGCAATAGGGAGACCACTTACTTAATCAAACTAGAGTGGCTTTAACTGGACTGATAGCAGTAGAGATGGTGAAAAGTATTAGGATTCTACTCAGTTGTAATATTGTATACTCATATGTTGATACATTCATATATTATGGTGTTCCCTTTTATGGTTTCTTAAATCTGTTATTGGTAGTTGTTTTCCTTTTTCATTTTGTCCTTTATTTAGTTACATATTTATTTTATTTTTTTAACTCCATCAGTTTGTCTTGTCACTGGTTCTCAACCTCAGGGTGAGGAACACGTAGGGAGCCATTGGAAAGACTTAGAGCCATCCCTCCCGTTTTTAGTTGTCACATGAGTTGGGGAAGGGTATATGTTGGCATTTAGTTTCCTGGGTCCTGGGAGTGCAAAGATGCTGTCGTTTCTGACAGTTGTACACAGTGAAGACTCATCCTGTCTAAAATATGCCCCCACTGTGTATAAAACACTGACTCTCTAGCTCATTGATTTTTTTCAAAGAAGTAGTGTTTTGACATTGAGAATTCCATCATTTCCACATTTCTGCTTCCCATCCTTTATTTCTTTTCTGTTTATTTCTTAAGTTGACTTTGTTGTTCTTATCCTAATTTCTTAGCTCATTTGTATTTATATTTATCCTCTGATCGATGTATGGTTGACTCTTGAACAACACAGGTTTGAACTGCACGTTCTACTTATACATGGATTTCTTTTCCCCAGTGGTGATTCCACAGTACTATGTGATCCATGGTTGGTTGCATCCCCAGATTTTTGACTGAGCGGCAGGCTGGTGTCCCTTCCCCTGCACTGTTCTCCGGTCAGCTGTATTTGAAAATGTAAATTTCCCCTAGGCACTCTCAGCTACACCCTACAAATTTTGATATGTGTTCATTTATATTTCCTGAACACCTGTCATAGTACCAGCGTATAGTAAGTACTCAGTAGGTGTTTGTTAATCAGTTTGAACCCACCCCACCAGCCCACGTTCTTCCTTAGAGGGTACACTCCATGTTTACTGATGTGTTGTGTAATGATTTTAGTTGCATCCACTTATATTTGATTTCACGTTAATATCTGCTCTTCATATTTTAGGTGCAGCAGTTGCAAGGAGTTTACAGTTTACAGGAACAGCATTTTTGGACCTTATGTTCTGATGTTTATGTTGGGACCTTGAAATTAGTAGTAGCACCTGATGCTGATGCCAGGTGGATCTTAAGCCAAACGCATAACATTTTTACTCAGGTATGATATTTTTACTAACCTCTTTTAAGGGTCTAGGAATTTATTGTATCTACTAGTTTTAAAAATATTTACTATTTAACATATTAAATATATATGTATATTCTATACCGTGAGGTATATATAAAAGATTTTTTCAATCACAGAGTCAAATTTGGGAGATCTTTGCTTTTGTGAATACTCTTAATGAAGATAGTCCTGTTTATTCGTCATTGAGCTGATTTGAGCTCCTTATGAAAAACTAGATTCTCCCTTACTGACAATCCTTATAAGACATGTTATATGCTGTTTGAAGCTAGGAATTCTAAGATAGTATTTGGAATAAGAATAATGCCTGGTCAGTCACTTAAAGCAAACTCTCTTAACATTTTTGTCAATAGCAAAGCCACCGCTCCTTCTTTGTGATTTAATGACTTAAGATGCTCTTGAGTTTTTCTTAATTCTGTATATGGAATCATGATTAGTCAGTTCATGGCTGCAACCAAATTATATCAGGTAATGTTTATGCCATCATGAGTTGACATAGTGACTGATAAACTAAAAGTGATTACTAGGTTATTCTGAACCTACTGGGAAAATAAGAACATCATGTCAAGAATATCTGAGGAGAGAGAGACCACAGATTTTTTTTTGGAGGGGGGTGGTTCTGGTTTGCTGGAAATATTTGGCAGAAAATGTAGATGTTGTCACTGCTGTCAAATTTATCTAACATGTAAATCTAATGTGGAAACTGGTTCCATGCCATAAAAATCTGTGCTTAAAAACTGACCCAGGCCTCCTAATGTGATGCGGTGGGAAGTATACCTGACCTGTGTAGTACTCTTGCCAGAAATGGTTAATGTAAATCCAGTCACTAATAAACAACCAGACAAACCCAGCTTGTGGCCTGTCACCCTGGACTCTTAAAAAGTGTCATGAAAGGAATAAAAGGCACAATAGCGGCTTTTTCTAAATTAGAGGAGACTTCACAATTAAATGCAGCGTGTGGTGCCTGATTGGACCTTAAACCGGGGAGAAACATCACAAAGGAAATTTCTGGGTAATCAGGAAATTGAAATATGGATACATAATAGTTCACATAATTGTGTAGGTGTTAAACTTCTTGGGTATGATACGGTACTGTGGCTATAGAAGAAAACTCATGTTCTTAGGATTTACATGCCAAAGGATTTAGTGGCAGAGCATCAGGATGTCTAACTTTCCAATGCTTCAGCAAAAGTGAAAAGGATTACAAATAAATACACATACAGAAAAAAAAAGCAAATATGGCAAAATGTTAGCAATTGGTTTATATAGGTGATGGGTAGATAGGTATTTATTGCGCTATTCTTTTTGTCTTTAAGTCTTTTTCAAACTAATAAGTTCAAAAATAAAACTTCGGTGGCTCCTCATTACCACCAGGATAAAGCCCAAACTTTCTAGCATGACCCAGTTCACTTTTCAAGCCTCTCTCCTGCTATTCACTGCCATGTACTTCATACTCCAGCCCCACTAGACTCTACTTATCTGTGTGAGACAAAAATCCTACTCTAATGTGAAGGTCCGATTCAATTGTTACTTTCTCTCTAAGCCTTAAAGACCCTTCTAAGCCTCATATACAAATGAGAGAAAGAGAGAGGGACAGATGGACAGTTTAAATTCAGGACCTTAGCATAAATTAAATGATCTCTCTTGTCTAATAAAAGAGAGATGTATGGTTATGTTCCTTTGGAATAATTAATGAAATGGTCCTATAACATAGGCAACAGCAAGACTTACTCTACTGCAAAACAATATACTAGTACCATTTATTTATCCTAGACTTTTAAGAACCAAGTCTTTTCTTAGCAGGTGCTGTAAGAAATCTATACTATTGTGAGTTTCATAATGCAGCATGTAAAGACCTTCACAGTAAGTCAGAGTCCTTCTCACATCTCCCTTTTTCAGAGGCAAAAAGGAGAGCATGGCTAGCCTTCAGTAGCTTTCAACAACCTTGCTTTCCACTGCCATTTCTAGATCATGATTCTTTCCTTCAGTCTATCGATTTTCTTCTAGTTATACCATGTCCTTCCACCCTCACAGCATGAGTGTCTGTCCAGCTCTAGAATACCTCATGCTGTCCTAAAACTTTGACACTTAAGTCACAGTTCTCTCTCTGAGAAAGGAGTGCGATTTACAGGTTTAGAAATGCACGAGCAGTGGTGTCTGGGCTAAGAACTGCTGAAGTTGTCATTGAAGTATGTGGAGGGAGGTTCTTCTGGTAACCGTAGAAATCTTGGCTTTGAAAATGGCTGAAATTGAGTTTACTCAGCTGCTTCTTTGGTTTTGGAAGCTGTGTTTGGGTTTTGAAAATTTTCAGCTCTAAAACATATTTAAGCCTTTTTATCAGCTAAGGTCAAAGCAGCTTGATTTCGTTGCTTGCAGAGACCAGGGACTGTCTTAGGCTTGCAGTGAAAATGGTTCAACACATTTTTCCCAGTGAGGAGAGTGAAGTCACCCTGCTTGTAACTTTCATTCCACACATTTAATGATTGTAAGTTGATGTGTGATAATTATTTTGGTTCTGAAATATGTGAAATTGAAGGATTTTTTAAAAAATTATTTTCCTTTTCTGCTTATGCCCTCATCACACATATTCATTATGCTATGAGTATATCCTAGGGCTTGCAGTAACATTTTCAATTCTTGAATCGAAATTTAAGTTTTTTACATTTTTAAAAAATTTGAATTATATCTTAATCATAGATTTTACTTACCAAAAGTAATAAAACTCAGATTGCTTCATTTTTTAGAAAAAAATTACACTAATGCTTTAAGTACTTTTCTTGTAGAAAGACTTTAAATACTGGTGGCCTTAGGTCCAAAAGACCAAAAAAAGAATTTTCTCAATACCTGGTGCTTCTATGATATTTTAAAGTATTTTTCTTAGAGCTGATCTTAAATTGATTAAAAATTTTTTTAAGTTGTTCTTGTTAAAATTTGGAGATAATTTTGAGGTTAACATTAAATTTGAGAACTATAACTTTTTGTTTTATTTATAAATCTGTAAGCTTTGTGACTCTTTTGGAACTGTACATTAAGCATGTCTTTTTATTTTCATTTTCCATAGTTATCACTTAATCATGAATGGTTAAGGCAGCTGGGTTGCTGTCACGAATGTAGAATAAATAACACAAGTGAATTGGTAGAAGTCTCTTCAGTATTTATATTTCTTTGGGATTATTAGTTAAGTGATAATCCAGTTTTAAACTACAAGGTTTTTGTTGACATTGAAAAAGTCCATTCTCCTCACTGCATGCACTCACTTTTTAAAAATGATGTATCTTTTGGGAATTGATGAACTAGAAAATATTATTTACATTTAGCATTTGAACAGGATGTGGACCTGGGAAACTGGATGAGGAAAGCAGTTTATCGTTTTATGTTTCTTGTTTTGAACTGGCTGACATTATCTGTTAATTTTTTAGACACACTTTTGTTTAGAAATAATGTTGGAAGAAAAATCTAGAACATGCTTGGGCTCATAACCCTCCTCAGCTCCACAAAGCAGAGAAGACAATTTAACTTAATGCATGTTATTTACTCTTCAGTAGAACTTCTATCTTGATATCTTCCATTTTTCTCTTCTGGCTTGTTTCTGCCTGTTAAGTCCTAACTCCTCAGCTTCCTGCTTCAGCCTTCTGTGCTCTAGGCTCTAGGCCCAAAATAGAAGTTAACACTGATACCCAGGAGGAACCTGAAGAGCCTCCTCGCTAGCCCAGTTGAGAGTTCCCCAAGATTCAGAACCTCCCACCTCCACTCTCCTGCATGCATAATCCCTTCAGTGTTTCTGACAGCAGACATCACCCCACCTTGTTGTGTCCTGGGAGGTGGGTAGAAAGGAGGAAAAAGCTATCCAGTCTTCCAGGTGGTGAGCTCTTTTCCACCCTTTCCTGTTTTTTGGGGGGGGGGGGTGGTTAATCTTTTGTAAGTGTTGGTTGTTTTTCATTAATCCACAGGGTTTAAGTGCTCATTTGTTGATGATGGTGGATATAACAACAGCATCAGGAGCTGGCCTTACTGAGAGCCCTCCACATGCCAAGCTCTGTGATGGGTGCCTAATGCATCAGTCTATCCTTACGAGACAGGTGGGGTATTAGCCCCAGTTTATAGAAAAAGGAGCCCAGACCCACGTGATTGTTCATGACTTGTAATTTCATCATTTTCAGTCACTATTTCATGAATTCTGAGATGATTTTGTTTTCACATGAGAGACTAAGGCAGTTTTTCAAAAATTCATTTTTATGGGGTAAAGATTAATACTTTCAGTCAAAAACTAAAGTAGAAAGTTTCTGTAGTTTTTGAGAATTGGTAGAGAAGTACAATCATTAATTTTCTACAGCCATATTATTTTTCTAAATTTTCTTAGAAGCATGGGTGTTTAAAATAACTGTCTTTCCCATTTTTAAAAGTTTTAACTGATTTTTTTTATGGTTTGTACATGATTCTCAGGATATAAGATACAAGTATCCTATGGTTTTCACTTTTTTGAAGGACAGCCCTCAGCAGGCCTCTGAGTGCTAGTGTCATCCCAATAGTAGAATATTTAAGGGAACCAAGCACCGTTTTGATCTCCTGGAGTATTTGTCATGAGAATAAACTGTATAGGAAACCTAGTTTGTGTTCAGAAAGTAAGTGACATACTATAGGAGTCTGAAAATTTCACTTTTTCTCTCTACTTTGAAGAAAATTGAGAAAGGAAAATGGGAAACTGGAAGACCTAAAGCTGTGCCCATCCAGCCAGATGGGTGAAACACATCACTTTTCTGTTAGACAGAGCTTTTGTATGAAGCAGTGGGCCCTCGGGAAAAATACCAGCTTGAGTAATTAACTCATGATTATGCAAATATCAATTTACCTAGCCTCTTTGTTTTCTCCCCTTTTTTTCTGTTGCCTTGGGCTACCTCATTTCTTATTACCATCTTCACTGTATTTGGGCCAGGATTTAGGAAAGTGGCAGAGATAATAATGGGAGACCAACTTATTTTGTCCATTTAACTTTCATTAACAAGTTTGTTGAAAAGAAATTCAGCCACTTTATTTGGGCAATAAAGAGTTGGATACAACTTGACCACTGAAGAACAACTTGAGGTTAGATATGCAAGAAATTTGCAAAAGGGTTTCCTAAGTACAGTTATTTTGGGGCCCATCTGGGTTGAGTAAATCAAATATAATCAATCATAATTTGTTTTTTATAGCATGTAAAGTCTTTCTCATATGTTCACACATGATCCTTACAGTAGTGCCTGTTATGTAAAAAGGGTTTATTAAATGTCAAATACTGGATGAATACACAATAGTTTTGTGAGATAGGTAGGATTGATATTTATCCACAATTCTAAATTAGAAAAACTGAGATTCTGTTTCAGTTTTTAGCTTAAAATCGTAAGATATTAAGTTCTATCTTTTTTCTGCCACAGACCTCTTTAAGGAGTGCATGCTATTAAATGCATTTTCAGAGAACTTTAACTTTACCACAGCAAGGATTTTCTTTTCCTTTTTAATGAGACAAAGAAGCTAACATGTTTTCTGTGCTGGAAAGGCACTGGGGTCTTATCAGGCTTTTTATTTCATTAGAGCAGCTCCTGCCTCTTTGGGCATTCATAGTGTTGGGCAGAGCCCTCCAACTTGAATGCTAGGGGGAAAGAAAGCCATGCTAGAAGCAATGCTTTGAAGAGCCCAGAAATTCCTATGAAAAGGTAGCATTATTATTTTATCCCCCACTCTGGATTTTCCTTTCTTTTAAATGTTCTAATTTACTTTTCATTCTGTGTTACTGACAAAGTGCCTATTGTAACTGATTGTATGCTTTAGTGTTTTTCAAATTGTTAATTTGAAAGAAGGAAATTAGTAGAATTTCACTTTATCCAACTGTTAATCACTTACTGTGTGGTGGGCACTACTTGAGGTTCTGGGAGTCAGCAGTGAAAAAATAGACAGTCTTTTTATTTCAGAGAGAGTCCATTATCAATGGAGAGTGACAATAAACAGTATCACAGCAAAGAAGTTTTATGATATATTAGCAAGTGTTATAGATAAGGAGAGCAGAGTAGGGAGACCAGAGAAGCTGAGGCATTTACCATTTCTTGCACCAAGCTTTGTTTTTTTTTCTTTATGGATGGATAGATATATAGATAGATGATATCTGTCTCATCATCTCATCTGACATACTATATATACTTGATTTTTTATCATCTCCCCTCCTTCCTAGTTCCCGATAGCTTATAAACTCCATGAGCACAAGGTATTTTATACCTGTTTTGTTGGCTATTGTATTCTCAGGGGATAGAACAGTACCAGGAACTCTAAGAGATGCATAAAACTATTTGTTGGATGAATGAATTGACTGCATTTGATATAGGGTGGTCAGAGTAATCCTCACTGACATCTGAGTAGAGATGTGACAAGAGAGGGAATATGTCACGTGGCAGTCTTGAGGACCATTGTTCCAGGCAGAGGAGCCAGTTGTGGCTAGAACAGAGTGACCAAAGGGAAAAGAGTACAAAATAAAACAAGAGAGGGAATTGGGGACCAGATCATGGGAGGGCTTTAAAGGCCACTTTAAGGACTCAGACCTAAGGACTAAGGGAGATTAAGCTGTTGTTGGGTTTGAGTGATAGAGTGGCAACACCGTAGTTGGTCTGCTGGAAACAGACCAAAGCAGTGCAAAGGTAAAAGAGTGAAAACTAGATCTCAGGCCGTTACAAAATACAGGTAAGAGGTGATAGAGACTCAGGCCAGGGGATAGCCGTGGAGGTTCCGTAAAGTGATCAGAGCAGTTGCAACATTGAGGGAGGACTTGAGCTGGAGAAGATACCTGATCAGCAGGCTTGAGGGGAGGAGATAGTGATCAGCTTAGCTGTGTCTCGGTGCTTTCAGATGTTCATGAGTAGAACTGTCAAGTATATGGTAGGTGGGTTTCAGCCTACAGAAAGTGTGAGAGTGTAGACGGTACTGAAAGTCTGAATATTGGGTAAGACCCTGTAGGGGGGAGTATCAAAAAAAAAGGGATCTGAGGATTGAATCTTTGGGTATTTGAGTGTTTAGTGTTCAAAGACAGGAGGCAGAACCCGCAAAGGAGACTGAGAAAGACTGATAAGTGAGGTAAAAGGGCAATCAGTGAGTACTCTGTGGAAGCTAAGAGTGGGAAAAGTGTTTCAGCAGGAGGAACTGATCCCCTGTGTCCTTGCTGCTAGACTGGTTACTAAGATGAGGACTGAGAATTGAGCACTGGTCTGAGCAATTTAGGGAAAGTGGTTGGCCACAAAAGTTTGGTTGAAACGGTTTCAAGAGAAAAGAGAGTAAAGGAATTGTAGACAGCAAATATAGAAAATTTGATAACAGAAGAGATGGGGGCAATTTTGAGAGCAGTGTCCTTGAATAGCAAGTTTATATCTAAAATTGAAGGGATGAGTTGGAGTGTAAAGGAATCAATAACTAATAGATGGTTTTACTTATTTCAGTGTTTACAAATCATTTATCATAGGAAGATTTAGATGGCATTGACTTCTAGTTTTAATAGCCAGCTCCTCGATCACTGTGGTGTTCTCTCTAGGAGAATACAGGTAGATGGGTAACCTCATTTTTCCAAAATTCACTTGGGCAAGGCATGTAATTAGTAGCACAGCTTTCTTTTGTAGAGCTAGATGGAGAATCTTTTTGTTTGTTTTTGTAACTTATTAACATACTTGTTTCTAAAATAAAATTATTGGCACTTTATGATGAAAAATAGAGAATTCTTTCCCAAAGAAGAGAAAAATAATTCTTCCCTTTTTCAAAAAGAAAGAAAAATTTTTTCCCCTACTCCTTTTCAGAAGTATATAGTCTGTTATAGTTTGTTTAATTTTCTCATTTTTTTTTTTAACTTTTCAGGCCGGAGTGAGACAGCTTTATGTACAGATTGACTTTGCGGCCATGTAATGAGTGAAAAGAAACTCTGCTTTTTGGGGGGACCTAAGTTTTCTGGTACTGTACAATCCTAAACAGTGTACCTGGCTTTCTAAAAGGAGAGATCGTCACTGCAGCTCCCCAGCGCCGAGCGGGCCAGCGGAGTCCGCCTCTGTGCTCTGCCGGGGGTTTACAGCCAAGGGGCCAGAAGCGAGAGGGCCTCTCCTGGGCGTCTGGGCTGACCTTTGTGCTCTTCTCACCAAACCATTTTGATTTCTGAGGTTTCTAGTTTGGTTCCAGGGTATTGTTTTCTCGGTGTTCTTTCCTTTTTTTTTTTTTTCATTTCAAATGCCCTCACTCCCACCCATCATCCTAGCCAGTAAGAAATTCAGACTGTGGGTCTCTAATCATCTGGAATGTCTTCACTGAAGCTGCTGGAAACCACTGCTTTCATTCCCACAAAACCAGTGTTATTTCAAAAAAGAAAAAAAAAGAAATGGAAATCTGTTTTATATGTAATGTCACAATTGTTGACGTTTTTCAATATAATCATATGTTTGTGAAATTGTTTGTACCTTGCAAACTTATGAACCAAACCATATTGGGTTTTCAAAGTGCCTTTGTATCAGAAAATGTATTTGCCAGCATAGAAATGTTCCATCAAAGGTCATGTGTATTTTTTTTTAATGGGTATTCTGTATTCTGTACAAAATAAGACTCTTGTTAGTAACATATACAGATGTCTTTTTGTGTACTTCAAGCATAGGTTTAGATACAGAAAAATTTGCCTTTTATTGCTCTCTCATCAAAAAATAAAAGGTGTTATTTTGCTTTTTAAATCAAATTCAGTTATTAAATTATTTTGTGGACTGTGTTTTCAAAACTTTGCAGATGCTTCTGTTATACAGACAGGTGTTTTGACTTATGACATCTGCTGAATTTCAAATTTCTAAAAAGCCACTGTGTCTATGATAAACTTTCCTGTATCTCTTTGCTGTTTTTAAAGATTCTCTTAATGAAAGGGAAAAGCATGTAGAGTGAAAGCAGAAAAGGTTGTGACAATGTTATTTTGCTTTTTCGTTTTTCAAATGCCAAGTCCTATGATTTGTTTTCCTATGCAAGCATTGCAAAAATACAGTTGCTTTCAGGAATCCTAAAGTGGCATTTTACTGAGTTTGAAGTATTGAAGGTATGGAGTAAATGTGCTAATGTAGAACTCCTAACACAAGTATCTTGGAAGTTCATAAATAAATTGATTTCTAGGTTCCTGTTTATTTGAAAAATAAAATTGCAATTTGATATAAGTGCTCGAACACTACTTAAATATTCTCTGTGTTTTATGAAGAAATTGATCTGCATAGATATTTTCCCACTGTACTTTATTTTCTCATAATGTACATTCCTTTTTAACTGAAAGGGAAAAATTTTAAAAAAACTTTGGTGGGGGGGGATCCCTGCAGGATGGAAATGAATGTTTAGAATGAAGATAAGTAATAAGCACTTTTTCACTGATGTGGCAGAAATCACTGTTGGTTTTTTCTTAAGTTTCAGAGTACCTATTACCCTATTTCTGACCTACAATTTATGAAATATACTGTAAACTACAGACTACTTGCTTCTTGTTTTCTAAACCACTGCAGATTGCCGTGAACTATTGATAGTCTCCTTTTTCTGCAGATTTTGTAGTATTTTCAAAGTATTTTTACATACTGCCAGGCAGTTCTGAAGCTAAAAATTGCCGTCAACAGAATACTTTTAAGTGAAACAATTGTTAAGATGTTTCAAGAGGGAAATATAAAAGGAAATGTTCTGATAACGGTACTGCTTTTTCACTGTAAGTATAAGTAGTCACTTGGAAGTTTGCATCCACTGCCAAGCCTGAGAGATACTCTGTAGGTTTTGGCATATAGTGGGAAGTGACAGGTCTGCTTGAAGGCAGGGACTTCGATGTGTGCCTTTAAAAACTAATTATGTGAAACTGTACTGATACTTCACATACAGAGGTAGTATTTGCATTGGCCTGTAAAATTTACCAGTGCACACTGAAGTTCCAGTTCTGCCTTTCACTGAGTCCTCCATTCCAAGTGAGGTTTTCTGTCAAAATATGCATCACTTTAACTTTTACACTCTCCGTACACAAGTGCATGAGTGTGGTTTTTTCGGACATTTGACCAAGATGAAACTCTTTATTTTGCACCTGTTATAAGAGATCTCCAATTCATATCATTTACCAGGTTGGCATTAACATTTATGATTTAATTAAATGTTCTTAAACCTGCATGTACAACAGGAAAGCAATTTTTTTTCTCACTCTTAGGAAATACTTTTGTCTTCTCAGTGTTCTTGGCACAGATATACTGCTAAAGTAGATAATTTCACTGAGAAATACTACTTGATTATTCTCATAAAATACATTTAGAATGTCTCTATTGGGGATTCTAATGTTGGGCTAATTTGGGGGAAAAACATCTGGGATATAATTTTGCTAATATTTTAAGAACCAAAATATACTCTGGAGAACAAATTTGTATTGCTCAGGGAATGTTTACCTTGCCAAGTAAACTTCCCCAAATGGAAATATACCTAGACTAGTTTTGTGTTTTTACATCTGAGAACACATTGATGGAGATGAAGGGCTTAACCTATTCACAGCTCCCTTATTTTGCTGGCTCTTATGTGCTTTGTTGAAAGACAGTCTAGTTTATCTGTAGCTCAGTGTTCCTCATACGTCCCCACAGCCTCTTCTGCAGAGACATGAGGAAGTGGAAACAGATGTAACTGGCATTTCCCTTATACCTGGAATGCTCCAGCATTCTTCAAAGCCTGTTTGTATACACCAGTGGCCAAAATACTGTGACTTTTGTGCACCTTTGTTAAACAGCCAAATCACTGACTCCAGATGCAGTTGATCAGAGTTCTAATATTTTTTTTAACCTCCTACGGAATAATCAACTTAATATGGTAGCATCCTCTAACATAATTCTTGGGCTTAAGAATAAAAATAATTCATCGCTGAACATAGAATTTTAGACTTTTACATCCAAGGAGACTGTCTGTAGAAGCAGTCTTGTTCTACCTCTCGTTTTGCAGATGAGAAAACTGAAGCCCAGAAATGCTGTCATTTGCTCAAGGTCACAGAGATAATTATAGTGGCAAAGTTCTTTCTACTCTTCTGTACTGTGTCTCCAGTGTAATAATATTTGCCTTTATGTAAATGTGATGAAGAAGCATTTTTAAATAAAAAGACATCTGACCTCCATTTTTGGTACATTAAGGCACTTTATAAATGGAGTTTTACTGTATTATTTTTCATAGCTAATTATGAGGTTTAGAATATTATTTCCATAGTATTCTTTATGAAAGATATAATTAATTTTTTACTCTTTTTTACTTTTCTACTCTTGTGTAACCAGTTCCTGATTTTTTTGTTTTTTAATAGTGACATCTCTGCATTGGATACTTTTAACTTGTGAGTAAATTTTTCTGTTTATTGCCCAAGACTAAATCCAATTTAAGGCCTGCTTAGTTTATTTTGATTATGTTCTGTGAATTGATACTTTTTAGAAACAAAGCTAATTCACAGGTCATATCAGTTCATTCTTGTTACTTTAAGTTTTCAGTCACTGGAGGGATCTTGAATTCTTAACATTATTCTCAGAGCCACCCAAAATTGGGCATTAAATATTGTATAGAACAAAACAAAAATTTCAACAGGGTAGAATTTTGAAGTCTTACAGAGAATCCCAAATGTTAAATTGCGACTTTCAACTCTTCATTAAAAGCATTACCTTGAGAAAGTTAAACTTTGTTTTTCTTTTTGTTACTGTCTTGAAAACAAGTTATTTTCCAATTCACAAGAACTTTGGCAAAAAAAAAAAAAAAAAAAGATTTTATTCTTCAAAGAACATTCAATAAAAGTTTTATTCAGAGAAGAAGATTGTTTGAAGACATGATCCCCCAAAAGTCTTCATGATTTAGATCTCTACCACAGAATCAAGACAATGAAAAATTATGTATTAAAAAAATATTTGCAGATATAGTTTTATTTACTCTAAATCAATGTGTCTTTGATGAGGGTGTCTTTGGTTTATGTTTAACCATTTCCTAACTACAAATTATACAGAAAGAACACCTTTTTATTAAGTATTTATGTATCAGGCTCTTTGTATGGCCTTTTTCATGTTATCACATGTAAAATCCTTATATTTTCATTTAAAAGAATATTGCATGATATTGATTGATAGACTTTTTTCAAATATATTTTGTCTTCTGATTCTCCTAATATACTTAGGAGGAAGAAATTCATGACTCCATTTTACAGATGAGGAAGCTGTTTTGAGAGAATGTAAATGAACTGACGGGAATGGCCAGTAGTAGAGCACTGATTCCAGATCAAGTACTTTTTGGTGACAACTACTCTGTTTTTTGTATGTCATTCTGTAGTGATTTAAAGATCCAGGAAGTTATATCAGACTTAAATACACTCTCCTATAAAATTATGAGACTTCCCAGGTGGCTCAGTGGTAAAAAAAAAAATCTGCCTGCCAAGCAAGAGATGCAGGTTTGATCCCTCGGTTGGGAAATTCCCTGGGGAAGGGACTGGCAACCCACTCCAGCATTTTTGCCTGGGAAATCACATGGGGAGAGGAGCCTGGTGGGTTACAGACCATGGGGCTGCAGAGTTGGACACGACTGAGCGACTAAGCACAGCACATAACGTTTGTTTAGACTCAGTCCTTTGGATCCTCTCCTACGCTCACTACCTTTGCCATTTAACTTAAACTCTGCAGACTAAAATGAACAATCAGAGCTCCTTTAAGCACTTTTAAGATCATTTTTTCGAAAAATGTAAAATGTTTTCTTGACACAGAGTTAACTGCTTAAAAGAGACTGACTCAAGTGTCAGCACCAGTGTGAGTGAAGAGAAACACCTCCTGGCCAAGAGACATTAAATTAATGGGTAGGAAGTTGTCTTCTAAGAAGTACAGATGATTTTGCACTTCATGAGAAGGATGTGTATAATTTGATTTACA